GAAATCCCTTCTATCTAACCACCTGAGACTTTGAACTATCTAGATAGCAACACCCACTTCCTAAAATATATTTTCCTACTCTGACCAGAGCAAAACTAAAAACTTGATTACTAAGCTAAAATAAAATGAGCTCACACAATCAGACATATATTCTACGTAACAAAATACCTATCAAAGAATGCTTGAATCCAAGATACATAAAATACTGACATCAAAATCACAAGACAAAAGAACCAATGACAAACCTGATAATTTGTTCTTGTTTTTCAATGATGCAGCTAACCTTTAACTATGAATAACTTGGAACCAGAAAGCTGACCTACTGGGGTGGAAAGAACTCCAATCTAGAAATCAAGAACATGGATTCTGTCCAGCTGATGCTACTAGGTAGGTAGGTGGCCCCAAGCAAGTCTCGCCTTACCTTCTGTCCCTCTCAAGGTTTACGTTTCTTGTTCAAGAGGTTGAAAGGACCCGCAGTTCCCACTCTCGCCTAGCCATTAGAACAATCTCAGAGTAACTTAACCAATTCCACGTCCTCTTCCAGTTCAGGAGTCTCTGAGTGAAGCTGAGGACCTTACTCTTAATAAGTAACCCAAGAAAATCTTATCATCTGGTTAAAAAAAAAAAAAAATTGGCAAACACTGAACTGGAAGATCCTCAAGCAGCCTGTCTTCCAGCTCTGATCCTTTACTATTTGGATATTTCAAAACAATCTTCTAAAACCACAAATAAATTATACGAGTTTAATGTATGTAACTGCATGCCAAAAAACAAACAAAAAATCATAAAAATAAACAGATCCACTTCCCATGACACCACTCATACCTTTAAACATAAAAACATCCTCCTAGATTCTAGGTAAATGGGACAGTTAATTTGGTAAGGGGAAAATTTTTTTTTCATATTACACTCTCAGCATATAGAGACATTTGGGGAGTTACAGAGAGAATTGTATGACTGATGTTGTCAGTAGAAACTATACATTGCATTCTTGCTTTGAAGAACATTATCTGGTGATCCCACCTGTTCCTAGCTAAGAAATAGCCAGAAAGAGCCTGGCTAAGTCCCTAGCAGCTGTAAACAGCATGCCCTGCAATACTGGAATGCAATTGTTACAAAGCTAAAAGAAAAACAATGAAACAATAACTGGTTACTAATTCTTCAAAGTCACCTCAGTGTAGACAACTGAGTGGTTCAAGAGTCTACAGTCCTTTGTTAGAAAAAATCATATCAGGTAAAAGGCCTCCAGCGCACTTTCTACCCGTTAAAAAAAAAAGCAGTTTTTAATTGAGTTTTTCTTTCCCCTGCACTATTTTGCTTTACACAGTTTTTGTAAAATCTCATAATCCTCCAGTGGGATTTACTGAGTTTATTTTCTTATTTAGATTTGTAAGTAACTACAAAACTAACAAAAGAAAAAGAGAAAGATTGATTGCAGGGAGCTTAGTGAGGCGGAGTAATGAAGGATGCTCATTAGCAACCAATTATTACACTGTAGCTACAAAAAATGTCAATAAAATCAAGATTAAACCAGAAAACTGAGTTTGACAAATTACTCTGTGACCCTTGCAACAGAAACAGATAAGAAACCCAGAGAAACATTGTTACATAATTTAGCTATTGGAAAAACAGTTGTAGAGCCACCTACTAAAGTATCACACTGGTGCAGTACAATGTTACTGTAAATTTTTCAAAATGAATCTTGGTGCTTGATTTGCAAATGTTATGAGTAGGCCAAAAAACTGATTTGCTTCAAGGACAAAAATGGGGACAACAACTGTTATGTGCAACATCACAGAAGCATTGGATTTAAAAGTCATATGTGTGTTCAAATACATTTATGTGTCTATTGCCCAACGAGGTTCTATGGCAATGTTGGCAAAAGACCAAACCTCACACTCAGTAAAATAAAAATATAAAATCAGAATCAAGAAGACTAGTATAACAGAATGTTTAAGAAAGCCGGACATACAGTTTGGTGTCAGTGCTTGCCTAACATGTGTGAGGTCCTGAGTTCAAACCCCAGCAGGGCAAAGAGATCAAGTTCTGGTGTCACACAGACATGAGTTAAAACCCCCAATCAACAAATTACTATATGACCTTTAACAAATCATTCAATCTAAATCTCAATTTCCTCATTTGTAAAATGGGGATAATGTATCATTTGGCCAGGTACATAATCATCATCATCTTCAAGATCAAACGATAAAATTAGCATAATTATTATCTTACTATCAAGTAAAACTAAGAGTTTCCTAGAAGCCAGGTTTTAAAAAAAAAAATTTAGTTATTAGAAAGACTCACATATACTTACGTAAAGATAAGTTTTTCTTTTCATTTTACAGAACCTTCTATTTTCCCCTCCTTAGCAAAGAATAACTCAAACTTAATTCTAAACAACTTTGTAAAAGAAAGGCTTCTTAATTAGGATGGCAGTTTTCAATGAGATCTGGATTGGTGATCTACCCAATTCAGGGTCATGCTTTGGTATTCTCAGAGGTGTTTATTTAGTTGTGTTTTTTAGAGATGTTAGTAGAAAAGGGAAGAAGGGAAAGTATTTAAAAACCATCACACACACTGTTAACACATACATAGAAGGTTGACAGTTAAAATTACGTCATGCTTGAGATTGGACAATGAAGAACAAAGTCAGATGAAATGTTTTAACTCACATTAAAAAGAACTCATGTAACTGATAGTAAGGTTAAAGTGATCAAATTCATCAAAAAAAAAAAAAATCCAAGAAAGAGAAAGTAAGAAATAAATTATTCCTATAGTTTAGATAACACTCATTCCATCCTTTTAAGATCATGGCTTAAATTTGTAATGAATTGTCTTTGTCTGCTCTTCCAAATATGCTGCTGGCTTGAATGTAGCTTTAACTTGCATTATCTTCTTAGCCACACACTGTACATCATTTTGAATATGACCAAAAATAAAATCCTATGCATTATCATTTTTCTAGAATTCATGGAAAAATATTAGTAACCCAATCATATAAAAAGATGTTTCAAAACATACTATAGGAAGTGATTTTGGAGGGAAAAAAATCCTTCATAAAAATAAATTGGTCAGGAAATATGTTCAAAGAAACCAAAAATAAATTTCAAAATCATGCAAATTTTAAAATTTTGAGTAAGATTCATAAGCTTTGAGGTCAATAACTAAATTCTCCAAGAAAAAAAAAAAATACAGAAGTTAAGAAAAATCTCCAGCAGGAGTACAAGCTAGTATTATCAATCCATAATTTGATGTGCAAAATTTCTAAATAAAAAATGTTATCAGTGTCAATATTGGGAAATTTAATCAATGAATTTCAGAGGCATTTTCAGTATTTCAAGACATCTTTCTTGTTACAGATTATACTGCAGAATAAAGGAAGACACTGGTTAGATGCTCTAATTAACAACTTAGCAGAGAAAGAACAATGACACTCTCAAAAGAAGCTCTGTCACTAGAGATATTGGACATTTTCTTTTTACTACTTAAGCATCCAGAAGAATCTCAGTCTGCTTTTAAATGCAAATTACCAAGCTCTGAAGCACATTCTGCTCTATTTTTTTTTAATATGAAAATTACCGCACTGTGGTCCTGTTTTAGAGAAGACACCATTACTCCAAGAAAAGAAACTCTGTATGTTCACACACTCTCTACAAATAACATTAGAGAATGTGCTGCAGATACACATCTAGTGAGCTGTCACCAGGTACACAAGGCCTTTTTCAGGGGAGAGACCATTATTAGTAATCCAAATTCTATTTGAAAAAGGAAAGCTTAGTTTTGAGGACCCACCAGGTCATGAAAGGTTACAGGTACTTCAAAACATTCACATGAACTAGCATTACAGCAATTACAAAACTCAGCATCCCTTGATTTTCAAGTAACATTATTTACTGGAATTTCAATAATGATAGTATGAGTTGCTATTTACCTATTCACAACATGATAAAACAATATCACAATTCAAGAAATGATGTACTATATATACACAATGAGACTGCACCTTTCTCTTTCCTGTTAAACACCCTGAAACAGGGAGAGTTGGTCATATACTTCAGTTTAATGTATTAGTGATTGAAGTTAAAAAAAAAAAAAAAAAAAAACTTTTTAAACTGGACAGAGGCAAGAAATCAACCATAATTAATAAAGGAATTCTTCCACTGTCAAAGGTTCAAGCTTTCTGCCAAAACCACACCTGCTTTAGGAAATTTCATTTGTTGTCAGGTAAATGGAAACAAATAATGAAAACAGCTAAAGCGATACACCTCATAAAAGGTTAACTTACCTCCAGTCTTTCCAAGTTATATATTAATAACTTTGGCTTTTTTCAAAACCATCTTTTCTAAAGCTAAGGCAAGTCACACCCAAAGTGAGTGTATTTTTTGATGCTAGTTGGTTTACCCCATCCTCCACCTTCCAAGCAGACCTCAATTTTCCCCACAGGTAGCCAAAGACCAGGACCAGAAACTATAAAATGTTCACTTCCAATCTTTGAAACATCAATGTGAATGTTTAAGGAGAAAAAGGATAGTACTGGGTTTAGAAAAGCTTTCCAAATGCTTGCCATCTGTAGTGTCAACCAAAGGGCATGGCATCACCCCCTACTTTCACTTACCCACTCAGAATCCAGGCAAAGAATGCAGCAGCCCCTTAAAGACAAGAGACTGGGGCGGCAGGGACCGGAGTGGGGGGTGGGGTGCGGGGAGCGAGGGGGGCGGAGGGAGAAGGGGTATCATGCACAGAAATTAGAAACCTACATTTTGATAATGGGAGAAACAGTAAGTAATGGCAGTCTTGTGCTTTTTAAAGAACCTACAAGCGCTTACTAGTTCAATCCGTCCCCAAATCCATGCCACCCTTTCAACTTTGCAATTAGGAGAGAGCAGGAGAAATTCCGGTCAACTCGCCTTGGGGGGTTGGTCTGAGGCTATAGGACTGAAGTAGGGAGGAGGATGGAGAAAGAAAAGAGCAAGCCAATGAAAGATACCAAAATTTCCCACCTTTCTTAAATTCTTCCAGCATAGCGTCCAACTTGGTGTCATTGAAAACAAAGTGCAAGGGGTGGTTATAAAATTTGGTGATGGTTTTCAATGGAGTACAGTCATCTGGATCCACGAAGGCCAAATCTTTGACAAAGAGCAGGTCCACGATATTGGAGCGCTCTCCTTCAAATACTGGAATTCGAGTGTAGCCGCTCTCCATGATTTCCGACATGGTGTTGAAATCCAGGATGGCCTCTCCGGTGATCATGAAGCAGTCCCGAAGGGGAGTCATCACATCCTCTACTGTCTTGGTGCGGAGCTCAAGCGCTCCTTGGATAATGTTCAGCTCCTCCTTGACCAGGTCGTTGTAGGGGTCAGTGACCCGGAGCATTTCCAGCAGTTTTTCCCGGTTATAGACGGTACCTATCTCCTGGCCCAGGACGCAGTCCAGCAGCTTGCTGACCGGGTAAGAGGCGGGGAAGGTCATCATCATGAAAAACTTAGTGAGGAAGATGGTGTTGGCTCCCACTGCCAGGCCATGCCGGGAACAGATGGCTTGGGGCACGATCTCCCCGAAGATGACGATGCCGATGGTGGAGACCACCACCGCCACGAGGCCTGAGCCGGCGATGTCGTCGAGTAGGATAGTGAGSGTGGTGTTGACCAGCACGTTGCCCAGCAGCAGCGAGCACAGCAGGTAGTTGCCCTGCCTGCGCACAGGCTCGATGCGTTTGGCGTAATTCTTCTCCTTCTCGGTGCCGCAGTTCTGCACGATGCGCAGCTCCATCGGGTCCAGGGCCATGAGACCCAGATTGAGGCCACTGAACATGCCCGACAGGCACAGCAGCAGCGAAATGAAGATCACCTGCAGCCAAAAGGGCAGCAGGAACTTCTTCTCCTCGCCCACGATCATCTTGGTGTCCTCGCCGTCGTGGTAAATCCAGGTGGTCTCGGCCCACGGAGGTGGGGGGAGCCCAGCAACCCCTGCGCCACCCTTTCCCCCGACGGTGCCACCCGTGGACCCCGGGCCGCCGGCACCCAGGGCTGGCGTGGAAAGCGATGTGCACAGGTAATAGGACTTGCTCTTCTCCATCTTGCGCAGCGGTTTGATCTCGATCTCGATGATGCCCGATGTACGGCGGTTCAGAATGATGTGGGGCAAGATGATGATGTCTGAGGTGCGGATGCCGCAGCGCTGGGGGCCGCTGTCCGGCTCTGGCGGCACGGGGCCCCCCAGCCCGCGCTCGCCAGGGCTGTGGCGGCGCCGCTCGTGCTCGGTGAAGGCGATGCGGGACCACGTCTCGTTGTTGATGTTCTGCCCGTACACCCGCAGCTTGACCCGGGTCCGCTCGCTCACCCGCAGCGCCCCCCCTTCCATGAACGACACGTCGTTCGTGTCCTCCAGCCGCAGCCCGATGATCACAGTCTCCTCGTTGTCGCCGGCCGCTGCGCAGCCGCCCGCGCCGCAGCAGCAGCTCAGCAATAGCAGCGACAGCAGCCGGCCCGCCGCCGCCTGCAGGACCCCCCGGCCGCGGGCGCTGAGGCTGCGGCGCGCCGCCATCTTCCAAGTGGGCAGTGCGGCGACTGCCTGCCCGCCCGCCATCTTTACTTCGGGTTCACAAGCGCCACAGCCAATCATAGGGTGGCTGCTTTAGCTGCGGCTTCATTCTTCCCACCCGGCGGCGCGAGCGCAAGCACCGACCCCTGGGCAAGACTGCAATGGAGCGTCCGCACCCAGTGCTCAGCAGTCTCCCTCCCTGACTGACACTGACTCGGCCTCGACCAGCTAAGGAACCCCGAGGCTCGCAGGAGGAGGGAGGGGGAGAAAGGGGAGCGCCAGTCGCTCCCGCGAGAGGCAGGCCAACCAGCCAATCATAAGCGGGTGCCCGCCTTCCCAGCCAGGGGGCTGGAATGGGGGCGTGGTCGTGCGCGGTGCCGCGGACCAATGGCAAGGTAAATGGGCGGGGTGATGAGAGCCACTGTCCTCCTCAGCACGCCAAGTTTCCAACTGAAAGGCGCGTGACTCTTGTGTATGTGCGAGGGGAGGAGGCGTGGCCAGCCGGTACCCAAGAACCAGTCAAAGATGAAAGCTGTAGGGAAGGGGGCGGGGCCTTCAGTACGGCTGCCAATGAAAAGGAGCAGTCCGAGGGTGCGGCAATCCCTGAGGGAGCTCGGTAGTAGATCCCAGCTCCTATCTTGGCGCGGTTGGAATACTGTCCTGTGGAGCCAGGCCGCCGATTTTCGCTGCACCGCCTTTCGGGCCCCCACCAGTGCTCAAAACCGGTGCAGAAAGGTCTCCCGCCCTGGGAACACGAGAAGCCGAACAGAGACGACTTAGGCTGCACATAGCCTAAAAAGAAGTCAGGGCACTGGCCATACCCCTGCCTCACTACTCATTCACGCCACTCAGTGGGAATAAGCGGCGGCAGAGTGGTCCCAGCACTGATGCGGACCCGCTATCTCGGTGCCTCTAGTTTTCGCTGAGGGCCGGATGCCCTCTGCGGCTTACGGGCACCTGGCGCCACCTGCCGGTCTCAGTGTGCCTTGCAACAGTTCCCAGGCTCGCCACATTCAAAGCCAAAAGGTGTTCAAGAGTTAAGGGTGGGGAAGTTACAGGGGCAAACTTTCTAGTCAAAGGAGTCCCCAGGTGGCCTGGAAAATTACTGTATAGAGTCCCTGGACTCCATCCCATAACATACAAAATGTGAACGGCCTAGAATCTGTACTTCTAAAAGGCACAAGTTTGGAGAATAGGAAGGAGCGAACATAAAAGCAGAGTTTTAAGTTCATTCTTTTTGTTTCCATACTTCCCCCCCACCCCCCACCCCCGATACTGGGTTTTGAACCCAGGATCCTTGTGCTTTCTAAGCAAACACTATAACACTGAGCTACATCCCCAGGCCCAAGAACTTATTCTTTTTTTTTTTTCAGTTGTCGATGGTGCTGAGGATCATCGCTGTACCACTGAGTTACAACCCCAGCCCCCAAGAACTTACTCTTAATTACACGGACCAAACCCTGCTTAGTTCATAGGTCACTCAGGAAAAATAGTCTGGAGACTTCCTTAGGACTCCCAGGTCATTGCACTTGGTGGTGGCAGAGTAGCACTTAACTGGTTTCTCCACCCCCCCCCCCAGTTTAAACATTGGAAAAATAATGGCTTCCCACCTCTTTTTTTTATTCCATAATAAGCACATTGTCCTCTCTTTTTGTAAACACATCAAATGTTTCTGATTGACTTCTGGTACAGTTAATTTTTGTGATAAATGCAGTGGCCTCCTAACCAGTTTCTCCTCTTTTACACCTGTCCCCTTTTTCAATACAATAACCAGTGATCCTGTTAAATCAGGTCTTGTCACTCCCTTATTTGAAACCCTCCCCTGACTCTCCATCTCATTACAGTAAAAGCCAAAGGACCTATAATGTCCTACAGGCTCCACAGGCTCAGCCCCTCACCCTACCTCTCTGACTTCACAGGGCACTGCCCCAGCCAGGGCTTTTCTCCTGGCCCCTCCCGGTCACTCCAGGGATATCCCCTTGGAGCCTTTGCACTTGCTGTTTGTTTCCTGTGCCTGGGACTCCAGTGTCACATAACACTCCTTCAAGTCTTTTTGCAAAGGCCACCTGATTTTAAACTTGTAAAAAACACCCCCAGTACTCCATCTGGGTTTTATTTTACTTCAAAGCAAAAATCACTTACTAATATTCTATGTAAATTGTTAATTTTGTTGATTATCTGTCTCCTCCCAGTAGAACTTAAGCTTTCTCTGAGGGTAAGAATTTTGTCTGTTTTGTTTACTGCTGTGTCTCTGGGGCCTAGAACAATGATAAGTATTCAGAACAAAATATTAAAGAAATGAAATAATTTTATTCTATTATTTCAAATAATGTTCTGACTCTAGTTTCCGCCTGTTTTTTTCTGGTGCTGGGTCTTCTACCCTATGTGTGTGTGTGTGTGTGTGTGTGTGTGTGTCTGTGTGTGTGTCTGTGTGTGTGTGTGTGTGTGCTCGCGCGCACGTATGTGTGTATTTTTTTCTTTGGGGGTAGTATTGGGGATTAAACATAGGTGTGCTCTACCACTGAGCTACATCCCGCTTTTTAAAAAATATTTTTCATTGTAGATGGACACAATACCTTTCTTTAACTTATTTTTAGAAAGATCTTGCCAAGTTACCAAGGTTGGCTTTGAACTTGCCATCCTCCTGCCTTAGCCTCCAAGTAGCTATGATTACAGGTATGTACACTGTGCTTGGCTTCATACTGCTATGTTTGAGAAATCAATTCAGATGAAGAAAATTTGATTCATAGACTTGGCATGCACTTATAAGAAAGCCACTATTTTTCCAATGTTTAAATTGAAAAAGTTTATTAGAAATAATTGGGATTTTTAGAGATAACTGACCAAGGCTAAGGATATACATGGACCTTCTAAACCAGTTGATTGAAAATGGAACCATTTTAACTTTGTAAAGTGTCTACAAGTATGTTTAAGGGCGCTGAGAGGGAAGGTGATTAGGGCTCTCATATGCTGAATGTACACTTTTGGAGTAGGAATATGGAGAAGTGGGGGGAAGAAGAGTTTGCCAAACTACAGACATTTCCTGAGCATTTCAGAGAAAATGACAACAGTCAGGAAAGTGTGGCATTCAGCAATTTAGAAGCAAGTTAGAAATGCAAGACTTTATAGCAAAAATGCCAGAAAGGAAGCTGCCTAAACAATTTACAATATAAAATAAACCAAATTCAAGTTCACAGGAGATCACTCAATGGTCTGTATCCCAAATGGTGGGTAATGGTTATATTCTTCATGTACACCTAAAACACACAGAGAAATCTACATACCTAAACCCAGTAATTTTTTCTTAGCAAGGAGGATCTTGATCTTCAAGTTCAAAGACTTTCTAGCTCAAAGAGCTGTCCTTTCTCTACAGAGGGGCTGTTAGCACAGGCTATGATGATTTCTAGGGGCTTTCCAACCTATTAAATTATAGGAACAGAGAGCAAGGTCAATACATGCTTCTGGAGGTCTCTCCTGAAATGTGAAAATACAACAAAACGCTGTATTCTGACCACATTTCAACTACAAAAACAGCTACAAAAGTCTGAGATTGTTAAATGGTTGCTGCTGAATCTAATCCTAGCATGGTTCTGACTTTGGTTGACCTTGAGCAAGTCATTTAGCTACAGCCAGAACCTCCTTGCATATACCTTCCCTAACCAAACCCCTCCTGCTGGAATCCTTCACTGGATTCTAATCCTAGCTTGGTTCTGACTTTGTCTGACCTTGAGCCAGTCATTTAGATACAGTCAGAACCTCCTTGCATATAGCTTCCCTAACCAAACTCCTCCTGCTGGAATCCTTCACTGGATGCCAACAGAAAAGGGTAACTGTTCAATTTTCTCATCTGCACAGAAGAAACATCCAGATCTGCAAATTCTGGCATTAGATCTGTATCCAGACATAAAAGTTTTTGGAGGGTTTGATGCATTTGATTTTCTCAAACATTGCAAATAAAATGCTAAATGGCTCTCTATACATTTTGTTTCTCAACATAAAACTCTAAATTTATAAAGAATCCCCTCCCAATGGCCTACTTGTAGAAAAGTATTCAAAGATTCAAAGTTATTGCTGACTTTTTTGTTTTGTTTTGTTTTTTGTACCAGTGATTGAACCTGAGGGCTCTGCACATGCTAAGCACATGTCAGCTACACCCTCAGTCAACAATGGCATTTTAATCGCACCAGAACACAAAGTCTTCAGGAAAAAAAAAAAAAAAAACAGGAACTAGAAAAATGCTCGAGTTTCCCCAGTTTGCCCTAGAATCATATCTATTGGCTCCAGAGAGATTTCTCAGAACCAGACTATCCACTTGCTTAATACATATAACTGTTATGTAAAATGAGAACTTTTCAAACAGTTAGCAAGAACACCAAAGCAAAATAAAATCTGCAAGGCCATTTTCTATCTCATGAGGCCTTTCCAGGCCTTTTGTTTAGGGCTTTCCCATATACCTCCTTTTTCTAGATTTTTCTGTACATTGTTACTGGGGTAGGAAGAGAAAAAAAAATGGGGCTTTTTGATGGAGTTATGAGGAAAGTTTTTCTCCTTTGAGAGGCGTCCACATTCAGTGGGTACCATTCTTCCCTGGAATCCAGAGAATATTGGTTTCAGTTGCCTAGAAAAGTGGGTGTAGGGGCTGAAGCTGTGGCTCAGTGGCAGAGCACTTGTGAGGCACTGGGTTCAATCCTTAGCACCACATACAAAAATAAATAAAATAAAGGCATGCTGCCCATCTACAACTACAAAAAAGAAAAGTGGGTGTGAAGAAAGCCACCATAAACAATGACGCCTTGCCCCTTTCTGCTCTGCCTCCTCTCTGCCACTTTGTCCTGCCACTCCTTGATGTCCCTGGGAAATGGGCCCCTCTACACGGAAGCCTTGGGATTGGACAGCACCCCACACCTCTACTGCCTTCTCCCAGGAAGCCTGCCTTCCCACACAAAACAAGAGGGCATGGGCAGTCCCAAGAGGTCTGCACCCTGTGCTGTCTTCTTCTCCCTTCCTGGCTCCTCCTTGACCCTTCTGGGCTACTCAGGGAAGAATGGTCTGCCAGTAAAAGTCAGCCATTTGCCTCCCTCCAGCATCCCTTCCCTCCTGACTGCCAGGCTCTGCAACTATGTTTTTTTTTCCTAGAATCTTCTATAATGTTCTTCCTGGCTGGTGTCTCATGCTAGTGCCAACCTTCAGCTCAGCCTTGGACAAAGGTGTAAGAAAGCTTCCAAGCTCATTTCTCCTCATCACAGTGACTTACACACTTAACCCAGATCATGCTGTA